GGCACCTAAGGATATTTTTTCCATTGATTTTTAGAGAGAGTGGGTGAGAGAGAGAAAGACATAGAGAAATATCGGTGTGAGAGAAACATGGATCAGTTGCCTCCTGCTCGTGCCCTGACCAGAGCCCTGGCTAGGGAGGAGACTGCAACTGAGGTGCATGCCCTTGACTGGAATGGAACCTGGGAGCTTCGGTCTGCAGACCTACGCTCTATGCACTGGGCCAAACTGGCTAGGGCAGTTTTAGTACATTAATGAAGGCAAAGTCACCAGAGGTCTGGGTGGTGAGGGTCTGCCCACCATCTTGGAGTGGTTTTGGCATTTTGTATCATGATGTTTAGTGTTCTTAGCATGTGGGACCCAAACGCTTCGCATTTTGATTCTAGGTTGCTTTGGGAAGAGGGTGTACCTATAGGAACACCCTACTATGAACGCTAGGATTGATTAATTTGTACTCCCTCTGTTGTCCAACTTTCCAATAAAGCAGTTTTTTAAAGAGCTCCATAGAGGTAATTGAAAAACAAAAACAAAAACTTTTAAAAAAGTCTTCATAGTAAAGATGCACTATAAAAGGGTAATTTCAAATTCCGAATTCCATTCTGCGTAATTTTAGAGTTAGCCTCACTTTACTCCACTTAGAGCACTTTAAACAGAGCACAGGGTTATGAGGAAAAAAGAAACCTTCAGATCTTTCCACAGTTTTAATCTTAGGTGTGCATACCAAAATGCATACATTCTTATCAAATAATTAACACATATTCACAATTAACAAACAGGGGCAAACTTTATACAAAAGTTCTGCTACTATTATAATTTTTGAAAAACATTTAACCCATCAGCAAGAGAGATGAGAGGTCAGCCTTTTAAAAGACAGATCATTTGAACAGAGAATATAAGATATAGTCACAATTAGAGGGGCAAACAATAGTTTTCTTCTTGTGGGTCCTTTTTAAATATTTCTTTATTTTTCTTCCTTGGATATCTTTAGACAACACAGTCATTTCTTCTCAAATGATTATTTTTTTGGAACGGGGGTTGCTATTGATGGTCTAAAAGAAGCGCCTTCATCCTTTTAGCTGAGGCAGAGATGGGATATTTAAGGATTCTTATCTCATTGATGTAGTCTTCCAAGATGTTGATTAAACAGAGAGGTCATTTTCCAAGTCCAAATGTGAAAACAAAGATTCTCAGAATTTACAACAAATGATAACAAGTAGTTTTGTGCATTCATTTTCTGTGATAACCGATCATGTATGTCAATTAAACCCAGACTTCATATTGGCATCAAATGAACACTGCAGAATGACCAAAACTGAGGGCTAGTCATTGTCATAGATGCAACCTGAAAGAAAAAAATGCAAATTGAAACATGGTTATACAAAACATATACCCTCTGAGTGTTCCAAGGTTGGAAATATGGGTGATGCATATGGATCTGAGTGTTCCAAGGTTGGAAATATGGGTGATCTTTCCACAGTTTGGAAAGATCCTGGCTTAAAATTTTAAAAAAGTAGAATTGGCTTCTTTTATTTTTTTTTTAAAAAAAGTAGTTACATGGAAGGCCATATATTTAGTTCATTTTTATTGCTCAGTGTTCAATTCCAATAAAGTTTATGGACAAATTTATTCTCTAACAAAATGAGACGGGATTATTTTCTTTTATTTGCCACTGAAATAAATGTATTTTGTGGTGGGCATTCTGAATGAGGTTGGAAATATTAAACATCAGTAAGAATAAGTTTAAAAGGAATTAAAAGGCAACATGATTAACACTATGCTTCATGTCAGTTGAAATTAATTTTTTAGATCATAATTTAGGAATATATAATGCTTAGGAAACACTAGTGAGTATTACAGGTTATGAAATGAGTACCGGGTACACACATATTTTGTCGGTAAAAACAATTCTTATTAAGATTCATGGTATAATAAAAAATTCACCAACTATTTTTCTACTTCTGTTTTCAAAGAAAATAAATGAGATTCTTCCTTACTTTCCAGGTATGTGCAAAAAATTTTTTTTCATTATATGAGGACATTTACCTTTTCTAACATTTTCAAGTGGTTCAAACTCTGATCAGATTGGGAGGTTCTAATAAATCAGCAAGCTATTTTTGGAATTTGACAGGACAATAGGTTCACTGTCTGTTCTCTGTGGTCGGTGCCATGGGAGACTTACCATCGGCTATATCATCATAGATCTCTCCATCACTGTAATTGTAGAAAAGAAATTTTATTTTTAAGGAAAATATCTTTTTAACATTAAAGCAATATTTAGATGAAAAATTGAATAATATAATTTTATATGACACAAAGCATTTAAGGATGAAAAGTTGCTATTCATTTATAAGTGGGAAGAAATTTCATATTCATCTGCATCTTCTTTCTTTGGCTTAATCTAATCCTCTTTTATTCTAAAAAACACTCCCCAATTTATTTCTGCTTACGATAGACACAGTAATCAGAAACACGCCTCAGGAGCACAGCACATGCCTTTCTCATGTTTAGACCCAGCAGTGAACCTAGCATACAGCTGAGCTTGGTAAGAAGAGTTTGTTGAACTAAACAAACTGGAAAATCATGGGGTATTAGAACCAGTGGGGTTTCTAATAAAAAAAACACACAAATTCATTATATTTGTTAATATCAGATTTATACTTTTACTTGAACTTCAAAGACTGAATGGAATATAATATTTGACATAGAAAACGGATGCATCATTTTTGCACGTTTCTCATAATTTTAAAATATTAGTTATAAAGCACATAAATATTAGTTATAAAATAAGTAGCCAAGATATAGTTAATATGGTGATTCTTATGTAATATAAATCTAAAAAAAATTTATGGTGATAGGCAACATTCATAATACTCGTTCTGTTTATCTTGACACATTTTAGGTTTTACCGGGCCGGGCCCTTTGTGAAATATTCTATTCTACATGCAGATTGAATGTCTCCCATGTCCCAGGAGATATAAATACGAGGAAGACACAAACTTTGATTTCAAGAAGCTTATAATCTAATGGAGGAGAAAACGATATACACATAAGTGAAATATAAAGTATCGTAAATATTAAGATAGCCTCGAAATGTAGGACACAGTTTCAAAGTCCAGAAATGTGAGGTGACTTTGTCATGCCGACCAGACCCACATTTGGTTCCTGTTCTCGCTTTGAGCTTTTACCACGAAGCAGCAGCAGGCCCTTCAGACTACTGCCAACCATGGCAGATGCTCTGAGTTCCTATGTCTTCTGTTTGGATCCTTTCTCTGAGATTGAGGGCGGCTTTGGCTAATGCAAAAGCTGATACAAATGCAGAGAGGACAGATTTTCCTATTATCCACTAAAAAACTTATGAAGTATTCATTTCAATAGTTGGTACACCAATAATTACTTACAGAGTCCTCTTTCTAAGTTCTCTCTTAATCACCCTTAATAATCACTGGGGAAGCTGTCCTATTACTTAGCACACATTCTTTCCATGAAATTTGTATGTTTTGTATAATAAAACCTATTGAGAAGCCTCATGCCAGCACCGTGATTAATTCTCTGAAGAAAACAAAGTATTATGGTTCTTTTTCTTTTGATTCTATACCAGTTTGCAGACAGAGCCCTTAACATTGATTTCTCTCTCTCTGATTGGTGCCAGGGTGTTTGTGGATATAGTCTGTGAATCCTCTTTGACTTTTTTATAAAGCTGAATTCTGTAAATCTTTTTGATGGGACATGTTTACCCTGATAATGGAATCATTTCTTGCACTGGTTTACTTGGAACAGAATCTCACAATGTTTGGGGGGACTCTGATAGCACACTGCCACCAGAGAGTGACAACCACTTATTCATAAGAATAGAAGAAGCATTGATTGCTATATTTTCTCTGGCATGCCTACAAAAAAGACAGCTTCATACTCTACTATGCCTGGGTTGAGTAGAGAAATTCCTCAATTAAGGGCCAAACTATAAACTATTAATAGGTGATATTAACACTGACTGTGTAGACAATAATTGATCCCTGATTAATTCAATTCAACCAACTGCATTCATCAGCAAGTGAAATGAGAAATATCAATGAAAGTGTTCAAGGCTGTGACCTGTCTTCAATGTTTGCAATGTCTGTCTCCAACGAACATGTAAAACTATGAACTGTATAATGGTGAATGAGAAGGGCTCCTTATCTATTTAAAGTGACACTTTATGAAAACCTTAACTTTATTATGGATTATGGGTACTGACATTAGTATGACATTAGTACAGCATATTGTTTTAAATTGATTTCTGGTAGTTCAGTAGATTATGTTATTTATCATGTTAAGAATCTTTCTTAAAGCAAAGCATGACATTCTTTACAAGTATAACAGAAAAAGAAAATGAGCTTACTTGTCCACCAAGTAACTCCTAAGGACATAACCATCTATGAAAGAAAAAGAAAATGAATCTCATTAGTAGTGCAGGCTTGAAAATGTTTACTATTCCTTTAAGAAATTGAATTAGGGTTGAATCTATATATATAGAAGTCTAATATGCTAAGTGTCCAACCCTCCGACTGGTTGCTATGATGTGCACTGACCACCAGGAGCTGCCATGACACGCACTGGCACCGTGGACCTGGTGCCCACAAAGCAACACTCGATTTCCCCCAAGTGGGACACAGGCCCTGCCACCACCCTGGAGCAACAGCCCACCAAATCGCAGCAGACGCTGCTGAGACCCCATGGTGCAAAATGCGGCTCCCAGCCCAGCCCAACCCTAATGGTCGCCAGGTAATGACGTCAGGTAACAACTGGCTTCCTTTCCCTAGGGACGCCTCGCCTCCTTGCAGTTTCTTCAGCCCAGGGACATGACTTGCTTTATAGCCAGGTGGAAACATTTCACACTGTAACCAAATGCCTGTGAAGCATTTTCTTGTGCCTCATCTCATTTGATCCTCACAGAAGTCCTGGAGCAGGCAGATAGGAGACTCGGTGGAATCCTATTTTCTTTTCACAGGTCTAATTAAGCAAGTTTACCCTCTCTATATAAAAGGCTAAGTTGACTCATGCATGCGCGATGCTTATAAAGCTCTCGCTGGCGCCAATTGCATGCGTGTGTTTCTATCTATCATTGTCGATTGGAATTTGGTTGACACGTCTATTATAGAGGAAAGGCAAATAGCAATATTAAAATATTTCTTCTAATTAATTTCCTTTCAATGTGCACAAATCCATGCACTGGGCCATTAGTATTAATATAACATAATATATTGAATAATTGTATATCTATCTTCAAATATGACCCATTTTTCTTACGTCCACTTTTCTCTCCTTCATTTCTTTTCTCTCCAAGTCTTCTCTTTCTCTCTCAACATGTCTCTTTTCCTCCATTGCAAATCCTTCCACCTTTCCCCTGTAAATATTTTTTGTCCTCTCTAAACTATTGCAGGTTGTATTAGAAGGTCCTTTCAAATTTCTATCTATTTCTTAAAGCATCACCCACTTGACCCATAGGAAGAATTTAGTAAGCATAGTTTCTCAAATTACAAAAGTAGTTCTTAGGTAGGTATTTTAAATACCACCATATCTAAGACTTAGCTCTTCCAGTTTTAGTATATTGGGCAGAATGAGAACTGCTTTCAGATGCCAGCTATCTAGAGCTACTTGGGGGAGCGTGCATTCTACACGGCCTCCTCCTGGCTCTCTGATTTCAGGGTGAAGGACCTTCCTCCACTGCTTTTGCTGTTTGAAAGTCTCAACAGTTGCATTTTCATCTTTCATGGAACAAATCATTACAGAAGAACACATAGCAGGGATCCTAGCGATCCCCTGGTTAAGTAGGAAGTAGACCGTATGTTATGCAAGAAAGCAAAAAAACAAAACAAACAAAAACCCCAAAGCTTTTTTGAGCACCTTCTGTTTGCCCCTCAGAGTGGAAAAATACTCTTAGTTAGAAAAAATACAGACTATTTTCTTCAGAAAATGTCTGCTGACATCTCATTACTGTTATAAACTTTTGAAAACACTAGCTTTGTGTTACTCCCTAACTCTGTTGTATGCTGGAGATTAGTTCCATTTACTGCTTTGTCAATACAGCCTGTAAATCACTTCCTTGACTGAGTCAATCTATTGGCTTTGATCCACACCAGGTATAGTTTGGGTTCTAAATCAAAGTAGATGTGTAACAAAGAATAAACCAGAAAGCTCATAAGCAAAGGTTTACACAAGTAATAATAAACTAACTTAAACATACTGATGTCATATTACTGTTGATTTCACATGAAAACACATGGTTTTTAAAAATTAGGATCATACAACTGAAATTGTAGATTAAAATAATAAAAAAAAAACACATTGCTTTGAAATATTCCAGGGTAAAAAAACTTCACCAAAATATTTTCTCAAGAAATTTACCACCTTCAAATGAAAACTGTTGATAAGAAGCATACTTGAAAAAGAAAAAATCAAGGTTATTTTTGAATTTCTTTAGTAAAAAAGTAATGAAGGATGTTGCAAAATGATAAAAGCACAGTAAAGTAATATTTTATTCAGAGTATGAAAAATTAAACCATTTTACACCTTTTTATTTCAGACAAAGCAAAAGTAGCAAATTATTAATGTAAGAACAACTAAAATTTATCATCCTGAGGTAGTCTTATCGCAGTTCCTTCACTCATTTCATGTTAAGAAAAATTAAACAAGGTATATATCATAATTTAACACAGTTTTTAAAGGGAGATAAGCTCATCTCTAACAAATTCAATTTTATGTGTCTCTCTAATGAGAAAAATGATGCAGATAACAAGGTTTAAGAATAAATTGTGGTTCTGTGTCAGGTTCCAATAACTAAATCTGTCATTATCTGTACTTATTATGTCCAGGGCCAGAATCAAATGTGAATAGTTCTCCATAGATGAAAATAGTCACAAACTTTTTAAAAAAAATTAGTTAAAATTTGTGGTTTTATTTTCATTTTGAATTTTCTCTTAAAACACATTGTGGGGAGACAATACAACTGTGTTCCCATGATAGATTCATGTTTAAGTTAATAATTGAAAAATAATGACATAAATAAACTAAAGCTTTTAACCATTATGTCAATCTCATAGTGAGTTGTTGGGGCTGTATAGTCTCTCTGAACTAAAATTAAAAGACAGAAAACTAGAGAAATGTGTAAGAAATTATAGTGTTGTCAGAGACTGGAAGTATTCTGGCATCAAATATATTTCTGGTTTAAAATATTTAGAAGATTAATAATAATAAAGCTAAAACAGAGAACATAATCATGATTTTTGGAAATAAAAGGTTTTTCATTTCCTGTGCTGTTAGGTAATCTATTTTTTAAAACTCAATTATGCTAAAACTGTGTAGACCTGAATAAAACACTCTCTGTAATTAAGCATTAAAACCATCCTTTACTTGACCAAAATTAATAACTCATTACACAGCTTAATGATCTAACTTCACAAAATAAATTACAAAAGTTATATTCTCTTAGATTCTCAAAGCCCTCTTATGATGTTCCCTCTACATCTTGCCTATTCACGAGTTCTATGGACTAGCTCTCTCTTGTGTTGAATGCCCCATTTTTGTCGTTGTTGGGTGTTTGATACGTAAACATCAATGACTGTGAATATTTTAAAGAAAAATGCATCCAGGAGATCAAGTGTGGGGTGGCACGGGGCTGCTCTATTCCAGTTCCCTGAAATGATGTGATAATTGGGGGCTCAGTAGCTATAAAATGACTATTAAATAGCATTTTTACTGGGTTAATGACTTTTAATACAGCATAGTTTGTGCTGTCTTGTACATTAAAAAGCCTCTGCTAAGACTTCATTCTGTTAAAAGCATGCTTCATGATAGTGTCAAAACAAGCGGCTTGCCGTGAATTTTTATATAATCTCTCCATTATAGTTCCTAGAGATGATTTTTCTGTAGTGCAAAAATACTCTCTTTGCCCACGTGTTCTATGTCCATCCCTCATAAAGGAACGATAATGAAAAATGCAAGCACCCAGCTGGTGTGGCTCAGTGGTTGAGCGCTGACCTATGAACCAGGAGGTCACGGTTTGATTCCCAGTCAGGGTGCAGGCTGGGGTTGTGGGCTCATTCCCCAGCGGGGGGAGTGCAGGAGGCAGCCAGTCAATGATTCTCTCTCATCATTGATGTCTTTCTCTCTCCCTCTCCCTCTCCCTTCTTCCCTGAAATCAATAAAAACATATTAAAAAAATGCAAGCAAAAGAAGTGAATAAAAACTGCCTTGTGGTTCTGTACCATGTGGAACGGCTGCCACGTTTAGTTAGCCCTATAATCTTGTGGGTTTTGGCAGGGATTCTCACACATAATATGAAATTGTTATTTGGAAACCTCACATTCATAGAACGGAACACAGTGGCTCGAAACAAATGTTTTGAAATATGTGGTGGGGGAGAGCTCGTTAAGGAAGGAACACCCGCCCCCGAATGTGCCAGCAGTGTCTTCGGCAAACATTTGCCTGCTACCCTGCAGCTGTGTCCCAGGACTAATGACTCACCTTTCCGAGGGGTGCTGTGAACATGAAATCACTGAGGAAATACAAAGTCATCTTCAAAATGGGAAACGTCTTCATTCTAATAGTTTCAATTTTTTCACTTGATAAAAATGACAACTTTGATTTTTTTTTCCCTTCATTATTTCATGTGTGGTCAGCCTCTCCGGATATAAAGTGAAATTTACTCAATTTGGCCTCATGCAATTTACAAAACAATGAAATCATATTGTGTAGATTAACCCAGGCAAATAGAACAATGTCCAATTTCAAGGGGAAATGCTCACAATATAATAAAAGGGAAAAACGAAATGCAGTGTATAATACTGAATATAAATGATTCTAATATTATCCCACTTTTACAAAATGTTCTCTCTATGTAGGTATCGCTCTCATTTCTGAGGATTCAAATCAAGGTGACTTCAAATTTCTAAACTTACAATTTTTTCTTCATGTGTTGTTTAAGCACTAACACCAAAATTATTTAAGCCAAGAATGGCCAGTTGGATTTGGGAAAATTTAAAGCACCTTCAAAATCCCCCTTTCTCTGATATACAACAGAAATGGAGGGCATTTCAGCCACAAATAACTCAGCCTGTATCTCATTGCATATTTTTGTAGAAAAATTTTCTCCAGTGACAAGAGGTGGGAAAACTCACAGCTCATGAGACACTGACTTGCGGAATATGCACCAATACTAGGGTGAAATGCGAAACATTTGGGAACGTGCCAGAAATATCTATTTAAGTTCTCAGTGCCTTTGAGATCTGCGCTTCACAAGTCAGTGGGTGAGACTTGATGGGAGGTGATAAAGCCTGTGAGAGGTTTGCACTCCACTCCACAATGGGAAGGGATTAGCGTTAATGCTCTGGCCTCTAGTTTCTATCATTACCAACCTGGGGTTTAAGTAAGCGATGTTTTCTTTCCTTTGATGGATTAAAGGAGAATGGAGAGTAAGGAAAACGTTAGGGTCACCATGGTGTTGGACTGCAAATGCCTTTGCTGCTAATCAGATGATGCAGAAATAAGGAACTGAAAGTTTTAAGGGCTCCCAAATGACACACAACAAGCGGACTGCAGTACTAAGGCTAAGACAGAGAACTTCCTTCTCCTAACCAGTTAAACTATTCAGCAGACATTTTCCCGTGAATGCCTGGTTGTCAGACTTTTATCTGGTTCTCCAACTGCAGTGTCCAAATTGCCAAATTCCATTCAGCAAGCCCTGAGCAAGGTGCCAGGCACTTAGAATGTGTTGGCATAGCAATGTTGAGAGCCTTTCATGGAAGCTACTCTCAAGCTCAGAGTCTAATACGAGTAATAGACTCTTGATTGGTAAACAAGGCAATTAAAGCAGCAAAAGTAGTACTTGGTGGGGCAGGGGAGATATTAATTGTGATGGGGTAGCTGGGAGTAGGGAGTGGATGTGCATCCAATTTTAGACAACAACTGGGTTGTTTTTAATAGACAATTATGAGCATTCCAAGTAGAATAAAATAGCTTAGAACAGTGGTCGGCAAACTGCGGCTTGGCAAACCGTGGCTCGCGAGCCACATGCGGCTGTTTGGCCCCTTGAGTGTGTCTCTTCCACAAAACACTGGCTATTCCACAAAATACTGACTTCTGCACATGGGCCACGAAGTTTCAATCGCACTGTACGTGCGTGACCGCACATGGTATTTTGTGGAAGAGCCACACTCAAGGGGCAAAAGAGCCGCAGGTGGCTCGCAAGCTGCGGTTTGCCGACCATGGGCTTAGAAGGATGAAATAGAGTAATTTATTGGGGGAATGACAAATAAGAGTTTGTAATTTTAGGGTGTCAGCTGCAGGTGGGAAATAGTTGATGAGCATAGATCAGAAAGGGGTTTCTGTACTAGGCTAAAGATATTTTTAATTGATTTTTAGAGAGAGAGGAAGGGCAAGGAAAAGAGAGAGGGGAAAATCAATGTGAGTGTGAAACATCGATTGGCTGGCTCTTGCATTCCTCCAACCAGGGATTGAGCCCGCAACCTGGGCATATATCTTATTACTGATGAACAGAAGGGGTACAAATACCGCAATTTGTTTCCCACTGGAAGGGGTAACTGCCACTCCAAGTTCCCTCCTAGATGAAGCTTTAGTTACTCAAGTGGTAACTGTCTTCCATCCCTTGTTTACTTCTTCACTAGCCTACCTGTGTTTCCCAGAAATCACCTCTCAAATAAAGAAGCCAAATTAAGTCCAATCCAAAGAAAGTCTTTAAATAAAAACATCAGGTACACACATAGTACTGATGTAACCATCTGGTTCCCATCCTGTTCGAGATGGACCCCCAAACCAGCTAAGAATTGCAAAGTGTGTTGCTACTGCACCAGGGAAAAATGATAAAAGTTACATGGATTCCTTGAGTGTCATCTCCCAGAATTTTATGTAATGTTTCCACTTTTCATTTTTAAAAGATGATGAATTCCAAGAGGAAAGGAGCCTTCCAGTATTCCTCACAACACTTAGGATTACTGATGTCCAAACAGGGACTGATCAGCTTACAAACAATCTCTGAAAGGCTACTGCTTTTCTTCATTCTCAAGACCCACTGGTTCCTAGGGAGCTAGCCATCTCTTCTGTGTCTGGGGCTGATACCTACCTCTGCTCAACTACATCTATACCCATATATGTTTGCCAACAAGGGCACCCACATCCTTGTAACTAATGTGTTCCGTGGGCCAGCGGCATCGATGACCTGGGAGCTTGGTAAGACGCAGAATGTCACCCTTCACCTCAGACCCGCTGGATTAGAATCTGCGTGTTCAACACGTTCCCACGTGCTGTGTAGGCACTTGGATGTCAAGGAGCATGGCTCCTCATGGGAGTTACAGTTGGGGACAGGAATCTCAGAATAGCTTGGCAAGGCTTCCTTCCACCAGACCAAGGGCAAGGTGTGTCTGGAGCGTGCGCACTGGAGACAGATGCGCATGACCAGCCCTAGGGCCATTCTCTGCTGTGAAAAATGTGAGATGATGTGGAATGCAGAGGAAAGGAAACATATTCCTTAGGCCCATCAACCTAATCATCCCCTTTAATGTTTTTATTTACATGATTTTAACATGCCTATAAAGCCTGCCCACATTAAGCAGGCTTCTTCTCCCTCTTATTATTGTATCCGGAGTATTTCCTCATGTTATTTTCATGATCATCATGGAAAATATTTAATTCGGTATATTTGTCACAACTTACTTCATTATTTAAAAATTTTGAACATGTTTATGACCTTTTTTTTTCTTAGAGTTTTTCTGCATTGAAGGCCATTCCTTTGGGTACATTCCCCCAAATGCTAGTCTGAAAGGGGCTTTTTTTGCTTCCTTGAGCTCTGTGTACACATTATCTCCAGTAAGCTCTTAGTCTTAATACTACGCTGCCTTTTCTCCTTTGTATCCACCTTCCATTTTCCCCTGCGAAAAGCCAACCACCTCCTCCATGATAACTTTAGCTCCACTTTCCCCACCCTTGAGTCACTGTTTTGTTCTTAAAGCTCCATTTCAGTTCCTGTCCCTGAGTCACCTTCCTGTCGTTAAAATTCGACTCTGAGTTCATGTGTTCTCTGCAGGCTAGTGTAGCTGAAATGGAGCAGCCATGCTGGCTATCCGATTTCAAATATAGGGCAACATAGTTTTGAATTACTCTTTCTCTGACTTCAAATTCTTAAGCTCCCTTTCTAATATTTGACAAAACATTTGCATCTGCCTGTTTTCCTAGTTGACAGAGTCAAAGAGAACAAGGATGGTCTTATAGTCACTTGGAATAGTATGCAATATTAAATGTGTCCACACAGGAAATGAAAACAAGGAATTTGCAAGGTAGGAAAACTAGAAACTCCAGGTGTGACATATGCTATATAATTTCAAAACCAGGCCAGAGCTAGTGCCCTTCACTACTTTCGCAGTGGCTCTTAACTTCAGTGTACAGGGGAAGAAGCTGGGAAGAGTTATGATCACAGATTCCCTCCGACCCCAGAGCTCACGACTCAAGAAGTCAAGGGTGGGTGCAGGCAACTGTGAGTTCAATGCACACACAGGGTCTCCTGATGCTGGGTGTCTGTGGGACCCCCTTTCGAGAAGCACCAAATTGGCGCTGCAGTGGGAAAGAGAGCAGGTGGGAAATGAAAAGAGATGGAAATCAGATATGTTGATTGCAACACAGCAAGATTTCTTAATGTTTCCCATAATTCACAAAGCATAGAATGAAAGAGTTAATGAAAGCAGGGGTGGTCATTGAGCCTTGTTTGGCTGCTAAATTCTGTGGGCTTCTCGGAAGAGTAGTCAGTGACTTACATTTGCCTTCGTCATTCCGGCAGAGAACTTTTGTATCATCGGTGTTTTGTATGACTTCGAGGGATTCGCCAGGCTTCACCTGTAGCTCTCTGTTCCCCCACTTTTTAGAAGTTAAGGATGGAACAACTGTGGTTGAATACAGGACCCTAATTTCACCATCATACTGGAAAAAAACACATTATTAATTGATGAGTATTATTCAAGTAATGCATTTATTGATGTATTTATTAAGAAAGTCTTTGCTAAATAAACAGTTCCTTGTTTTTAAAAGATAATGTGAGAACAGCGAAGAAAAAAATTTTTTTTGGAAAAATCACATATAACCTCACCAACCTAATTTAATATTTTTAACTAAAGAATTTATTAAAGTTTATGTACATTATTTTTATACACTCATATATTTTAAAGTTATAATCACTGTGTTTAGCTAACACCTCAATAACCTCACATAATTACCATTTCTTTTTTGTGGTGAAAACATTTAAGAATTACTTTCAAGTGTATAATACAGTATTGCTAGCTACAATCACCATGCTGTACATCAAATCCCTTAAACTTATTCATTTTATAACTGAAAGTTTGTACTCTTTACCCTTAGACCAACATCTCCCTATTTTCCCCATCCATCCTGCCTCTGGTAAACCCTCATTCTCCTCTATGTTTCTGCAAGTTTGGCTTCTTTTGGATCCCACATTTAAGTGACATCATAAAATATTTGTCTTCCTCTGGCTTACTTCACTTAGTATTAAAATCCATCCATGTTGTCACAAATGGTAGGATTTTCTTCCTTTTTTCATGGCTGAATAATATTCCATTGTATATACACCACATTTATTTTATCCATCTTATTTTTAGATTCTTTTCTTATCAAAGTTCAAAGGATAGCTAAATTTAGATGGTTATTTCAGTATGTATATTATGTATGTATGAATTTGCTTAATTTGTTATAGGAATAAATTTAAACCTAAAATAAATTTCATAGAAAATATAGGAGTTATGATGGATAACTGTGATACTGATCATTATACTTCTAAAATATTCATTTTGGAACTTAAAAATCATAGGATTTTTTTTTCATTAGCACTCTGTTTGATATTTAAATATGACATACTTTAAATTTTTTCCTGAAGTCTTTTTCTTCTTTTTCCTGCTTTTTTAGCTTCTTAAGGTCTTTCTCTTCTGTTTTGGCCTTGGCTCCTTGACTGAGAAGGCAGAACACATGTAAAACAACACTTAGTTTAGAAAATATAAAAAGAATAATGTATAATAAAAACGTCAGTCATAACATTAAATTTTTGTTAAATTTTGTTTTAAATTATTTTTCTTAATACAGCCATTGTCATAAATGATGACATTTCATAATGCAGAAGAGGCTCTTCAAGAGAATAGATTCCGAATTAAAATGGAAGTGAGAGATGATCTAATAGTTGAACTGTATGAAGTCACTGAGGAATAGTTTAAACATGGTCACATATCAGTAGTTTCATATGATTCAACCTATTCTTGAACCCCTTCTATTTTTCACTCCTTCCTAGATAATTAAATGAATCAGTCAATGTCATAGAAAATGCTTTTTTAAAAAGAGCACTTAAAAATGGATTTTCATAGCTTAAAAAGTTTATCCACATATTGGCCTTTTCATATCTACTTAGAGTGGAGCCATAGTGATACCAATTGGACTAGAGCCAATTGTTGTAAGAGGTGAATAAGCCCAAGACAATGGTTCTCCAGCTTGGCCCCACACAGCTCACCTGGGAAGCTTTCTGCCATATATATTTATGTCTATGTGTATATTATATATTTAAATATATTTTTACTGATTTCAGAGAGGAAGGGAGAGGGAGAGAAAGACAGAAATATCAGTGATGAGAGAGCATCATTGATCAGCTACCTCCTAGAAGCCTCATACCAGGGATCGAGCCTGCAACTTGGGCATGTACCTTGACCGGGAATCAAACCGTGACCTCCTGGTTCATAGGTTGATGCTCAACCACTGAACCATGCCAGCCAGGCTTACCTGGGAAGCTTTTAAAAAATAAATTGACTTGCCCAATTCCTAGCAATTCTGATTACATTAAACTAATTTAAAATTCAAATTAATTAGACTAAGTGGGGTTGGTGTACTGAAAGCATGTCAAACGCAAAGGCTAACACGGGCCAAATAAACAAGGTTTAAGTTTATGTGGGCCACAAAAAAAAAAGCTTCAATTTTCATAGAAACATGGGTTTATTTCAATAGAGACATGCTGAATAAAAAGTGCTAAAATAAATGAGTTAACATAAAAAATAGAACATTTTAATAAAAATTAATATTTTTCTTGAACATTAACTTACCAGACACTGAATAACTACACAATAAGAGTAATGCAAATAAACTTATTTTTCTTATTCTCTGAAAGCAAAATGTTTCCTGTTGTGCACACCAAACAAGTCAGTCCAAGACTAATGACGTGGCAATTGGCTGCTAAAATATTTGCTGCTAGTATTAGGGGAGAGAAATGGTGCCCCGTGCATAAGCACATAGGGAAATGAATGCAACATGATTATAGTAATCAGTCATTAGCAAACGTTGTAGCTCATTATTAATAATTATCTATAACAGGATATTGTAAAAATTAAGTGACAAAATTTTTATTAAAACATTTCTTACATACCATTTTATTGGCTGGGCCACAAAAATATTCGTTGTGAGCCGCATGTGGCCTGCGGGCTGCGAGTTCGACAAGACAAAATTTTGTCTATAATTGATTTATTTAAAATGTTGTTTCTTCAATTCTTAACCTTAGAATTTAGTGAATTCCCTGTGAGATGAATCAGGACAATATTCTGCTTCCTCACTCAGTATCTCCCATCCTATGGTACTCTGGGCAAGAGCGCAACACTCCATACCCCATAAGCACTCTGACATTATCAGAATATACATGAATGTTAAAACTTTCCCCCCCAAAAAGAATTTATTTAAAAATAGAATACTATGCTAGAGAACTTAAATTGTTTTAAACTCTGAAAATAAGCAATCGGTAAGAAAACAGTTGCATGTCACATTAAGTTGAATCAGCTGGTGTTTATTTTTCTTGAAGAAAAGGGTCAGTGTGTGACTCTGGGTTCCTAGAGAGCTGTTGCACGGAATGTAGTGGCATTTCTGCAGTAATATAAAACAGAAGAAGGCACTGAACACTGCCAGGGAGAGAAGCCATTTCCCACTGGCGAGGAATATTAAAGCTAAACAGTGCTGAAGATGACATTTTCCATTCGTGGAGCACGGAGACAGGAGACCGGCTCTCCTTTCGGCTTTTTTGTCGTTCTGCCTATGGAGCGTGATGTTCATATATAAATGACAGCACATTTTCCCTTCGGTTTCTTTAATCTTGGCACTGTCTCTTGTCCAGTAAAATTAGCTTAACAATCTTGATAAAAAATAAATACTTTGAGTTTATATATGCATTTTTTACCGGTGCAGCTCAGAAGACATCACTTATTGTATTCCACTTATGTTACTTTCACCCTTCAACTAATCAAGTCCAGAATCTTTTTGTTCACTTTTCTTTTTTCCTTAAAAAAGCCAGAGATGTGTTTGCTTTTATACACAGTAGGTATCAGATTATCTCACATAGTTATTGAACCATAAATATACATCCTACTATGTGATTTCCTATTTTAAAAGAGTTTTCAAAAGGCACGCCTTTTGTATCAACTGATTTTAGATTATCTCACAATTTTAGCCTAAAATTAAATTGAAACCTCAGGCGAGCTGAAGAATGTCCCTATTCACTGTTAACTTATTATTATTATTATTGTTATTATTATTTGAATGGACCTTTGAGAAACTGATGCTTTTGTGAAAAAGAGACAGACCAGAAGTCCTGTTAAAGAACAAATCTTCCTCCCATAAAGAGGCTTAAACAAGGTGGGTGGAGGCTGATATGTAAAAGAAGATGAGTAGTCAAGACAAAATGG